GATCGTCGGAAATCGTCGGGATTCTCGTTAACCCCTTGCCGTACGAGTCGTAATGATTTCTAAACTAATTTAATAAGAATCAGTGTTGTTCACCCATGGATCAAAACAAACTATTTTGCTGTTATCAATGTATTCAAATGAAGTTTCCTGAAGTAGAATGGAAAGTTTTGTTGGGTTTCTTGCAGATTGTCGATAGTAGAATATTACACGAGCTTAGCAATGAAAGTAAATACGCCAAGGGGTTAAGGAATGCCGATTCCCTTAACCGATCGAGTAACAGCGCGATCGCTTAACACTTTGACTGCCACGTCACCCGAATTCATGACGTATCGAACGAATCGAATTTTGTTGGATATATGAGATATAAGAAAGATAATGGAGCAATTATGAAGAAGAATCTTGATTTCTCAGTTTCTGGTTAATAGAGAAAACTGTTTCGAGTACATGGGAGTTTTGATGAGTGTTTACGTGGCAGTCCTAATTACTCGTCTTCATCGATATCTGCCTAGAAATTGGAAAGTAGAACGGAACCACTGTTAGAATTGTTTCCTACGAAAACAGAGAAACGCGAATCGGTTTCAGAGCGGAAACGAAAGAAGCGCGAGCTCCGTCGACGGTGTTCCGGCAAGAGCCGTGGCATTCAAACTGTTAACGCGTCGACGTTTTTCGTCTCCGTCCGGCGATGTTTTGGCTTGTCCGTTGAGACACGGTTTTTCGTGCGGTGCCTCGGTCGGCGCGTTTCCTCTTTTTTGGAAGGGTTCGGTGTAATGTAAATAACCGCAGGTGACAAGGAGGCGACGCGTTGAAGAGCGAGGCCTCGAATAACCGTCGCTGTTTACGCGTCATTGTCGCGCGCGGTCCAAAAATTTACGATGCCGAGGGCCTCCCGATGGAGACGTCGCGGCGCTTCCGGCAGAGATTCGCGGCGCGGCGCGATCTATAAATCATCCTGATAGTTAACCGCCGCCGTCCTAACAATTACGCGCGATTAATCCGTAACCCCGAGCGGAGCCGGTGGGTGATGCCTGACGGTTCCCGGGGGCTCGTATTTCTCTCCTTTCCGAGAAACCGGAGGGGCGGCCGGACGTCGTGCGTCCGCGACCTCGTAAAACAAACGGAGCACGTGGCTGCTAAGAAGGCCAAGTTCGAGACGTCGATCGCCGGATAAAACCGTTCGACGCGGCTTCTGGACAAGATCCGTCCGGGCGTTTCATCGCGAGCGAATCCGAGGGGGACCGCGAACCAGTCGAGACGCAGCCGCGAAGCGTATTCCGCTGTTCGCCGACGGAACTTCGGTTATACGGTCGAGTGGAATATCACCGGCTATCGTTTGTTTACCGGGATGGATCTATTATTAAAAGCGCGGAGGGAACGGTTGATGCACGGCTTCGCAAATAACGCGAATGTCGCGAACGCTCGAAAGAAGCGAGGAATGTTTTACTATGTGCCGCGATTGAAGGTATTCCAACCCCCTGAAATACATTCGCCAAAAGATCACGCTTCTCTCTCTCTCTCTCTGGGCGAATAATAATAAACATGGCAGTGAAAACGGATGGACGGCCGGGGGAGCAAAACATCGGGCCGAGGAAATTAACGTAATACCGCGCGGGGATTTCGTAAGCGGCCGCGCTTGGTGTCCGCTATCGCGCGGGACGAGGGATAAGCGAGAAGAAAGTTTGAAAATCCGCTCGAAAGCCGTGGCAGCGCGAGTGTAGCCAAAAGCTTCTCGTGTTACAGCGCGCCCGGTCGCCAAAACACGGCGGCGGCGACGAGCCGCGCGTTTCGCGCGTAGTTGGCAGCGATTTCTACCGATGCGCGTGAAATAATTTGGCGTTTGCCGTGCTCCCGGTTACGTAACTGCGGACTCGCAGACACCGACGGCGGAACGGCGAACCGATCCCCGGACTCGCGTCGCTCTTTCCTTCTCGGGGAGAATTCCTCGACGAGAACCGTTGCGAGCGTCGCGGGGCCGGCGCGAGCGCGCACCGGCGAGCGCTGCTCGAAATCGTCTCGCCTTGTCACTCGCACGTTTCGCGATGCTTTCCTCGGGGAATAAATTAACGCGGCTTCTCCGGGATTCGCGACGGACACTCGAGACGTGCGAACGATCGCGTTCGCGAACAGCGGAGAGACTTGTTCCCAGGAAACGCGTACAATCGTCTATTGACGAAGTTATCGGTTATTCGACGCTGTTCCGCGATCTACGATAACGAACTCGACGTCCGATCACCGATAACGACACGCTGCACCGCTGAAACGTCAATGCGATCGGTTCCGCGAAGCTTCTGGATCGAGCTCCGTCGAACGCCGTTCCCGGTCGTCGCATCGACGAGCCGGCGACGCGAATCGCGACATAAGATAAAAATACGTCGAAGGAGCTGCGAGGCTCGTTCGCAGAAGCAACGCGAGAATGCAAATACCGGCGCCGCGAGGAGTATCCCGGCGAGTATTCGACTGAAACACCGTTCCGTTCCAGGTGGAAGCTGTCAAAGGACTCGCGTCGCCCCGACGCTCGAGGAGACGGGGAATTCGACTGACCTTCTGTACAACGAGCGGAGTGCCGAAGTCCTTGCCGCCCTGCAGGCGAAATCCCCAGGGGGACCCGTCGAACCTGGATAGCTTGACGCCGATCAGCTGGGCCATAATCACTGATATCGTTTACACCTGGTCGACGATCAAACGAACTGAACCCTCCCGGAGAACTGCGGCGTGCGCGAATGAACGAACCCGTGAAACTCAAACTGAACGCGATGCGATGCGACGCGACGCGACGCGATGAGACTCGACGCGATGCGATGCGGCGCAACGAAACGGAACAAGGCCGGACGATATCTCTCTCGTGCGGAGAACGAAGGCGATTTCCTGGCGCGGCTCGTACTGAAAACCGGAGACGACGGCTCGGAGAGTCGCGCGCGGTTGCACCGGTCGGTCACGGTTGACGTCTGCCTTGGCGAGGAGGCGGAATCCGCGCGGGTTCGCTTCGAACGGCACACGTACGTACGTACTTGAGGAACGCGCGGACCGGAGTAAAGGTACGAAACGAGACGTCGAGGACGGTCAGTCGGCCAGCGGGGCCTGCCTGGCTGCCTTCCTTCCATCCGATTCGACTGTGCCGCGGCCACGGCACAGGGGCGGGGATGGGGATGGGGATAGAGACCCAACACGCGGGAAGGAACGAGACCGCGATCCACTGATCGTCGTGGGAGGGGTTGGGGTGGGTGGAAGGTGCGCTCGCGAGCGCGCCACACCGACGGAGGGCCGTTTTCATGGAAACACCGAGGAAACCGTCCTCGGCATCCTCATTTCGCGGATCGGCCGCGATCGACGAGACGGTCCATTGTCACGCGGTCCATCGTGCTCGATCGATAATTTAGATTCCGATCTACGCGCAGGGTAACGGCTGGCGATCGAGTTAACCCTTAACGGACCGATGTCGCTGTACAAGTGTCTCCGTGAATTATTTTATCATTTCCATCGATGTTATCGTTGTGTCTATAATTAACTGACTGTGCTGGATCGCTGAATTTCTTTACGCTCGTTACGTGTGCGTTTCGGTAGTCTACTCGAAATACTTAAGGGTTAATCGAAATGCTTTTCCAATAGACTAAATGCAGAGTTAACGTCAACGTGGAGTTTCTTTGTATAAATTCGAATGCGATCGTAGAGAGACTATAGTCTAAGGGTTGTAACGTCGAGGAAAGTTCTTTCTACGTGTCGACAACGTGTTCCTCCAGAGGAATGCGATCCTCGGTCCGACCTTCTGTCATTGCTCCAGATGCGAGGCACCTTGCCAGCAGGATGCTCCTCGCCATAATTCAATCGCGATCGCCGGTCCGATCGATCGATTACCGGCGAGCAACAGTATGTCCTTGGCGTTCGCCGCGGTGCGCTCCGGCCGGAGGCGAGTCCGTTAACACCCCGCGGAGAGCGAAGTCCCGATCCGAGCGTCGCGCACGGGTTCGTGACTGGAAAGGATCTCGGGGCAGGCACGCGGTATTGCGAAACGTACCCGGCGTCTCCGCTGCGACGCCGGACGACCCGAGATTTTCGTGGTGTCGAGCGGTGTGACTGCATTTTCTGCGCCGGTGGCGGTCACGAGGGCGCGAACTAGTTCGTGAATCATGCCTAGAATGCTTTACATAAATTGCTCGGGGCCGACGTCACGTTCTCTGCGGCTGGGAGCACGAGAGGACCGCCGCTGCCGCTGCTGCGGCGAGGACCGCGGAGGGGGAGGAGAGAAAGAAAGAGAGTGAGCGAGAGTGAGCGAGAGAGAGAGAGAGAGAGAACGCTCCTTAGCCAGCAGGCAGACGTGACTCAGCCTCTCGCGGGTACGCGCGCGGTACACGGGACACGGGACACGGGGCATGGTACACGGGACACCGGCGACTCCGGAGGGACTCGGGAACTCCGGAACGGTGAAAGTGTACGCGCGGCTCATCCGTTCGCCGAGCAGATTCGTCCTCGGATATCCGATTCCGCGAAAGGATCTTGCCCCGCGGGTTGCGTCAACGCGGCAGGACGCGGACGTGACCCAGATGAGACGGCGCTTCTCCGGAGCACGGGAATTCTCACGACGGACGTGGTCGAATGCCGATGAATCAGTTCGTTGATACTGAATTCTTAATTCGAATACCGGGTCGCCGACTAAATAATTACTATGATTCACTGAATGAAATGCTTGTTTGAAGACGTGCGGAGATAGAGCAGTGACGTTTAGATAACCGTGCAACAATGACAATGTAGTTCGATCGAAGACTTTGATATAGTTTCTAAGTGAAATCAGTCGACGTGTCAAACGGTTCGTATACGCGGCGAGATAGCCGTGCAACAATGACAACGTAATCGAAGACTTTGATATAGTTTCTAAGTGAAATCATTCGACGTGTCAAACGGTTGACGCGGAGAGATAGGGATTGTATACATGGCGAACGCTAGAAACGATACGGTGTAGATTTGCGAGCAAAGAAGAGACGGTGTTACGAAAATGATTCAATCCTTTTATTAACGCCTCAATCTTCGTTACGGTTTTGACAAAGCTTGCACACTCCGTGACATTGTATGTATATACCACACGCAAACGTACCTAAATGATTCGCGTTACACTCGCGCTCGATGCTCGCGATCGCAGCGCACGTTACTCGCATCGTTTTATGTTATCGCCGCGCGCCTCGCGCGTTTTCGCTTTCCTCTCCGTGATCAACGCCTCTCCTTGTTCCCCGCGGGGAACAGAAATGAAACGATCGTTCTGCTCGCGGTCCTCCGTGGTCTTAATGGCTGACGCTCCGCGTACTCCTGTCGTCCGCGACGCTCAGCGCTGGAGATTTCTGAAACGGGGGAACAGGTGTTCAGCACGGTGACGGAAACGGTCGTCGGACGAGAATCAGAATACGTACGGCCCTCTCGATTATGTCCTCCGCGGCGTTCACTTTGGCCGGCCTGGCCGGAATTCCTTTCTTCGGCTCCCGTTCCATCTTATGAATCATCTTGTACACACTCGAGTTCATCAGGTGGTCGTAGTTCGGCAGGTTCGTCTTCTCGTACTTCTTGAAGTTGACTCTGAATCAACAATGACGACGGTTAGAATAAATAGCCTCGTTCGATCGAATCGCGCTATTGACCGAGTTTCATCGAATCCTCCCGTTAGAGGCACGTTATGGAAAAAGCTTTTGAAAAAGCAATAACGACGGTTAACACGTTAAACGCGATGTCAGATGGCTGACGCTTCTAAATTACTTGAAAATAATCGTAGCATGCAATATAATCGATGTCGTATCAAAATACTTAATAACTAAGCTGATAATAGTGTATTGCAAAGGTTGTAACGCCAAATAGTAAATAATTACTTTTCTTTGCTAAGAAGAATAGCCGTACAGAAAAACGGTCAAGATTCTCGTGGCGTTTAACGTGTTAAAATAAATATTATTCGATCGAATCGCGCGCTATTGACCGAGTTTCATCAAATCCTCCCGTACGAGGCACGTTATGGGAAAAGCTTTCGTATAGTTCGGCAGGTTCGTCTTCTCATACTTGAAGGTGACTCTGTATCAACAATGACTGCGGTTAAAATAAACATCATTCGATCGAGTCGCGCGCTATTGACCGAGTTTCATCGAATCCTCCCGTTGGAGGCACGTTATGGAAAAAGCTTTCGTCGCGTTAGGTCATCGCGTACCAAGAATGTGAGTCAGCCGGGATTACCGGGCGATTTCGAGTGAAAGGAGCTAATTGAAACGGGCCGGACTCAGTTTCCATCGGGCCGGCTCGGAGGAACGGCTTGGCTTACCCCAGGGCTCTGCCTCGGATCACTTCCGCCTGGGAAGACAGGACCTCGGCGATCATCTCGTCGTTGAAGAAATCGTTCGGACACCTCCATCTCCGGCCGAGAGTGAGCTCGACCTGCTTAGCCTGCGGCCACAGCTCCTGCGAGGGTTTCCTTCCCCGTTGCTGCATTTTCTGCTGGAATTTCCGAGAAGCCTCGTTAGCGCCGAAAAACGAACGAATCGGGGGCGAAGAAGGGGGTTACCGTAGGAATTCGCGCGGCTCACGCTAAAACGTCCGGGGGTACACGTACACGTGCGTGACACGGATACTTTCACTTCGCGAAGTTTAAGGACTTGGAGAATCCAAGGGCAATACCGTGTTCGGTACTACCGAGCTGGACGTTGTGCGCACAATATCATCTGGGTTGTCGGGGGGACGTTTAATGGACGGTTGTTAAGTCTCGCGATGAGAGCCTCCGTAGAGTATCGGGAATCGGACAGACGTACGTGTGATACATTCGTATGTGTAATTGTTTATATAGAGAGAGAGAGAGAGAGAGAGAGAGACAGATATAGAAGAAGGTCTCGGTGTCGTGAGAAAAATCGGGGACACGGGTTCGAACAGCAATCACGAAGGAGTTCAACATCGGTACGATCAAAATGCAATGAATGTATCGGGTGGGTTGTACAACAAAAAAACGACACGGGTAGAACATCACGCATTCCACATATCGGTTTCCAGAATACCTGCAACTCCTGAATTACTTGATCTTTCGGCGATAGTTTTGGATCGGGTTCGAAACTTCCTACAAGTTGTTCGACAAATCCATCATTATACTGATAAATCGCGCTGTCGGAATTCACGGAAACTCCGACGGTCCGGACTAAAGAAAGATCATTTACCGTGGGACGGCGCCGGGCTCGGCGACTTCAGCATCTTCGTCTCGTACGAGACCACGAACTTCTTCACTCTGCTGCCGTCGTCGCTCTTCACCGACAGCGTGCCCTCCAGCTCGTGCGTCTCGGTGTCCTCCTCTTCCTCCTCGACGGTCTGCTCGACGATCCGGTGGTGCTGGCGCTCGTCGTAGTAAGCGGTGTACGAGAAGTCCTCCGTGAAGTCCGTCTCCGTGTCCTCCTCGTGGTCCAGATGCTCCTCGTGCTCGTCGCCGGACTCCTTCGCCTCCTCGCGAGTCTCTTCCTCTGCAGCATCGTCGAAAACAGATTTAGACGAACGTTCTTTGAAACATACGAAACTTTTAGTAATTCAATCATTCGTCTGCAGCATCGTCGAAAACAGATTTAGACGAACGTTCTTTCAAATATACGGAACTCTTAGCGGATGTAAATTGTATATCGATTGAGAGAAGAGGGCACGCGTTGATCTCTTGTTCGAGTAATTCAATCATTCGCGACTTGCAAGGAGAGGGAAATTTGTTTTTTCTAAGTGGAAAATGAAACTATGTCAAGCATATAACTAGAAATGGAAAGCCTTTTTTGACAATGCTCCGTTTTCGAGACGAATGGGTTTCAAGTTTGTCACTTTTTCCTTCGAATATAATCTCTAAACACCTCGTACTCCGTCAACCTAATATTATTCATCAACCTACTACAGTAAACTACAAACTTGAAACCCATATCTCTCGAAAACGTCCATAGTCGAAAATGGTTTACCATTTCTAAACCCGTGCTACAGAGTCTCATTCAAAAACACGTCTACCATCCGTTAGTCTCTGAAACACGAAAACTTCATCCCGCAGAAAGGCCGCACGAATCCGCCGAAGCCTTCCCATAAATCAATCGGGAGACAGGCCGAGAGGAGCAAAGAGAATAGAACCGATACGGCGTCCGTTCGACGGTAAACGCGCTTGTCTATCCGAGCACCGTTGGCATCGCGTCAAAACCGCTCGGACCCGTGAAATTTGAAAATATTCGCGCGCTTGCCCGCGCTCGATAGAAACGGGGATATACCGATCGAGGCCTCGGGAATGTAATCTTAGCTGGCGAGCTCACCTCGCGACGGCTGCTGCTCGTTCTCGTCGGTGGCGCCGTTCTGCACGCCGTTCTGCACGCCGTTCTGCACGCCGCTCAGCTCCATGATCTTCTGCAGTTGGTCGGAGACGATTCTCAGGTGGCTCTCGATCTCGCTCGGCAGCTGCTTCAGCGAGAGCAACTGCCGCTGGACGTTCTCCAGTTGCTTCTCCAGGTCGATCTCCGTGCTGACCAGCTCCTTGATCTTCTCCCTGTCGACCTTCGACGCGACGTCCGCCATCTCTTTCTCGATCTCGTTCAGTATCGACTCCCGCGTGGACGGCTCGCTATCGGGCTCCTCGTCGCGAGGGACTTCCGGTTGGTTATCCTCGTCGACGGTACTATCCTCCGGCCGCTGCTCGGCCTCGTCCGGCCTCGACGACTCGGCCTTCGACTCGGGACGCGACTCGTCCTCGCGATCTTCGGCCGACCGACGACCGGGCTCTGGAGTCGCCGACGGGGTCGCCTAAATTCAGAGAAACGACTAGAGAACACGGGAACCGCGGCAGTGCTCGATCGCGCGGAGAGATTCCGTCGGAATGCACACAGAAAGTTCCCTCGTCCAGCCTCCGGCCAGCCCCCGACCAGCCTCCGGCCGTCGACTTTCTTTCGTTCGAGGCTCTGTCTGCCCTCGGGCTTGGAACAATATTTGACATACCGAGCATCGCGGTCGATCTTCTTCATGAGAGAGAGAGAGAGAGAGAGAGAAAAGGGGTACTCACGTCTCCGACGGATTCTGTGTGCATTCGAGGTCACCGGTCGGTTACCGTCGCGCCCGCCCCGCGTTCGCTTCCGGAGAACGGAGAGGATATATCGGGATCGATCGTCGTCCCGCGACAGCTGCGCCCCGACAGGCTTGATCGCTGGCGTAAAGGGTTCATCGAGACTCTCTAGTACTGGGTGCATCCATACATGTGCATTTTATTTCGAATGTACTGAGCATCATCTTATTTTTCTTTTTCTCGACAATCCATTGGTTGTGTGTGTGTGTTCGTGCGCGCGCGCGTGTGTGCGTACATTGACAATGAAGAGTGTATGACAAGACAGAACATCGTACATGCATCGATCCTACACTCGTCGACGCTGGACGCGCGAACGTTCGCCGCTGCTGGGAGCAGCGACGTGCTACGGTTTACCCGGCGGCCCGCGCGACGGGAGAAACGTTTGTCGCGATGTTATCGGCATGTTAGGTCCGACAAAAGCTTCTCCGTGGCGCGCCGGCCTCGAGTACAATCGACTTTAGTCGTGATTCATGGGTGAACATGTTACGGTTACACTGGACAGATGATACAAACAACAACAACAACAACAACAGCAACAACAGCACACGTTACGACGAACTCCGTGATCTCTATCGATATCTACGCGTCTACGGACGGCCCACGGCGACCTTGGCTCCTGTTATCGGGACATTTCCTAGAGCGAACGACCGTCGCCTCGTTGAAATCTAAGCGGAATCGTAAGCGTTACAAATAGCGGCCCCATTCGACGCGCCGGATCTCCCGCGGCGGCTGTTTCACTTGTACATGTAGAGCAGGATGATCGAGGTGCAGGGCACGAACGCGTACGCCACGAGCCTCGTGAAGTCCACGCCGATGCGGTTCGTCAGGCCCTCGTAGAGGACCGTCGGGACGAACGAGAGCCTGCGGCGCTCGCGGTCCGCGTCCATGCTGGCCGCCTTCTTCTCGGCGATCGTCTCGCGGTCCGTCGATCGGCCGGTCAGCTTGCTCGGCAGCCAGTCGAGGGCCAGGCTACGCAGCGCCGTCAGGATGCCCGGCGAGCCGGCGGACACGCTCGGCCGGCAGGACGACCTCGACAGGCGCCTGCTGCCGCGGTGGAACACCTCCGTCGAGATGAAGTCTTTCGAGGAGCGCAGCAGGTCGGACAGCTGCGCGCGATCCTCCTGCTCCCGGCGCGGCGCCGCGGCCGACCGTTTCGGCACGCACACCGACGAGTCGGAGATACCTTGCAGGATCTGCTTGCGAATGTACCCGACGATCAGCCCGAGCGACTCCAGGTGCTTCTTCAGGATGCGCTCGACGTAGCGCGTGCGGGCGAACAGCTTCTTCTTCGAGGAGACGACGGACGGACGGCGCGCCGCGGCGGCGCGGTCGAGCAGGCCGTTCTGGAACAGACACTTCTCGATGTAGCGGCCCTTCATCCTCAGCATCGTCGAGCTCCTCCGCCTGTCGCGCCGCGGCGCGTCCCTCGGCGCGGGCACGCCCTTCACGTAGTTCAGCAGGCGGGCGATGTTCCTCCAGAGGATCCGCTCCAGGTAGCGGCCCTTGAAGTACAGCCGCTCGCGGACGCGCGGGTTCGAGCCCGCCGGGTTCAGGGCGTCCCTCGAGCCTCCGTACTCCAGGTAGGCCAGCACGTCCGAGCGGAAGCGGACGGCGACGAACTCGATGCTGCGGGCGAGGATCTTCTCCGCGTAGCGGGTCCTCCTCCGGGAGAACTGCTTCTTCGAGAAGCTGTCCGGCTTCTCGAGCAGCCCGTCGATCATGCGCTTCAGGTAGCTCTCCAGGTAGCGTCCCCGCATCCTGGACCTCGGGGACTTCTCGATGCTGCCGCGGCGAGCGTCCGTCTGTCCCGCGCCGTCGCTACCGTTTTCCCAATGAGAGTGCTCTTTCGTCGGAGACTTGGCTCTGTTAGGCTTCTTGTCTCCGTGGCTCTTCTTGCCGAACAGGCAGCGTCGGAAGTAGTGTCCCTTCGTGTAGAATCTCTTCGGTTTCCGCTTGGTCGCCGGTTTCCGGGCCGGAGCCGCGTCCCGGCGCTTCGGAGCTTGAGCGACGTCCGTTGCGACGTCCTTCGCAGCGTCCGTTGCAACGGTTACGACGTTCGTAACGTCCATTGCAACGTCCGTTGCAACGCGCATCGCAACGTCCGATACATCGGTCGGGAAATCCTGCCGAAGCTCTACGACCTCCGGCGCCGGGGACGCGGACGCCTCCCGCTCGGAAACGTCTACGGAGGAATCGCTCGGGGTCAACTCGGTCTCGGAACACGCGGGCGACAGGTTCGTATCGGCGATTCGCTCGACTGGCGGTTTGCGAGACGACGGATCATCCTCGGGCGGACTCGACGGAACGGTCAACGACGCCGGCGAGTCGTCCTCCTCGACTCTCGGCGCGATTTCGCTACTGTCCATGTTTACCTCGGGAGTGTTCGGTTCCGGGGTCTTGGCGGGTTCCGGCTTCAAGAGGCCCTTCTCCAGCAGCCGGTCGGTGACGGTCCTCTTCTTCTGCTTGGTGATGACCACCCTGTACGCCTCGACCTCGGTCTCCTCTTCGTCCTGCCTCTTGCGGGGCTGCGGTATCGGCCGCTGCGGCTTCTGCAGGAACACCGAGGTGCGCTTCAGCTGCTCGACTATCGGCGGCTCCGCTGTCGCGATGCTCTGCAGCTCCTCGATCACCTTCGACTGCCTCAGAACGGTCGCGCGTGGTCGGAGCTTTTTGAAATTCACTCTGAAACGTGGGAAACTAGGTCAGGACGGCCGCCGGTCGTGTGAATCGACGGTTGTTGGGCATGCCGCGTTTCGACTGCGCGGCAGAGACGGGTCTACGCGGGGATCTAGAGGGAACCAGGGATCTATACCCCAGGACGCCTTTCTCGTCGAGAAGCTCCTCCTCCTCGAGAATCAGCTGAGCGATCTCGTCGTCCGTGAGATTCTGATTCGGCACGATCTCGCTGTTCTCGTCTTTCGGCTTGTCCGGAAGCGGCTCGACCTCTGGCTCGGCCTCGGCGGTCACCTCCTCGTACGTGCTCTCCTCGACCCGCTCGATCACCGTCTCCTCCGTCAAGATCTGCTCCGGGAATACCGGCGGCAGGTCGGCTAGCTAACAAACGAACACGTTGCCCCGTGTGGTCAACAGTCGTGGAGACTCATCGGGACGCCAGGTTTATTCTTAACCCGTTATCCGGGGATCGCTAATTCAGACTCTGATCGATCGAATTCGAGTTTCCGTAGGTAACCGAGGGGATCGTCGCGCGCGAACGATCACCCGGTGAACGGGTTAAGCAACTACGCGAGCCGCGGCTCGAGAGCAAAGAATAGCCTCTAATGGTCGACCGATCGTCGGTCTCGGGGTACATACGGGGATCTTGTACGGAACGATGTTCTCCTCGGACAGCCCCTCCAAAGCCTTATGGGGATCTTCTTCTCTGCGGCAAGAATATCGCGTCGATTAATGGCCTCTCGATGCGTTGATCGGCGCGACGGCGTTCTGCCACGGTCGGCCGCGGTACTTGGCCGTTCTCTTTCGTTTTTCGGCGAAACGCGCGAACGGAATTGGAGCGGGCGACGATTTTAACTTGGTTTTCGGCGGGCCTGGGCCGACTCCGAGCCGGTTCACGCGCGGAACGGTAATGAGAGGGATCGGGGAACAAACGCCGCGCGGTGTAAATGCCAGCAATAAAATCGCCGACCAATGATAAACAGATTTCATTCTGGGTCACCTATTTATAAGTGTTGCAATCCCGTTGCCTCACGTTGCCCGTACGCCGGGATACTCTGGCCCCGACGTATTATTATAATATACGAAGCCGCCGCGCAGGGCCATCGCGTCGGCTCGCGAACGTTCTTTCCACGGAAAACGAAATATCGCGGACGACGTCCATATCCGGTGGAATCGTTAACCGATGCGCTGCGATCGCGCTCGAGCGTGCACGTCCACGTTAAGGATGATTTCGCGATGAATAGTCGCGGTGAGTCACCGCGATAGAAAATTCTCGCGACGCAAAAGTAGTTCAAGTTAAGTTTCACGGTCCAAGACGATGCGCAATGTGTCGTTGACATTGGGACGGGGGATCGTTGCGTCACGCTATCAATCCCGGCCGCGCTTCCGGCGATTGGCCAATCGTTCGATCGGCATGCAGGCGCGCAATTACGTGTTTGGCTTAAAACCGAGCTACTCACCGCTGCACGCCCAGGACAAAATTATTACCCGCCCGCATTAGTTCTTCGTGAGCCTGACCGTGAGTCAGGCCGCCGATGGGTTGGTCGTTTAATCTGACCACCACGTCGCCGACCTTCAAGCCCATGCATTCTGCGAGACTTCCCTCCGCCACCTGTCAAACATGCTCCATTTACGTCGGTGTACCTTCTCGATTCGCTCGTTCGATCGGTGCACCAATTATATATATATAATCACATATATTTAGGCGTTAGATGTAAAAAACCCTTTTGCGAGCCTATCCTAGCAGCGATAAAGCCCAGGGACCCATTGCTCGTCGTTTTTAGTTAATCCGTGGATCGAGCCCAAGGTGGGCAATAGCTACGAATTTTATACCTGCACGTAATTTAAAGTCGAGGCGATCCTCGGGGCTACTGCTGCTATGGTCGTTAGAAATTTCCGAGTCTCCGGCTAACGGAACCAACCGACGGACCGCTGCCGGGGAAGCAGGGTTTTCCTAATTTTTCGGAATCCTACCCACGCGTCCGTCACTCCCCGCCACTAGCGGAGAGATGTATATTGTACACCGAGCAACCGGCATATTCATTGTACATTTAGAAATTGAAGTATTAGATTGAGAAGCCGTAGACCAAGCCGTAGCCCAACGCCCCATCATTTCGGTTTTTCTTTCCTACATGTACAACGATAATAACGATAGAACTTTAGACTCGAAAGAAGGCATCCGAAAGCAGAACCTCCTTGTATACCGATTTCAGTGAGAACGCGATCGGTTTGAAATTCTGGATAAATTCGCGCGTTCCATTCGCGTTGCTACCGGCAATCTAGAAACCTGTCGTAGATATTCCGTCCGTACCGATAGAGGCTCAGCGCCTGGGAGCAGGCAACCGGTCGCGCTGCTCGCCACACGGGACAACAAACGCCGAGTTGCTCGAATCCCTAACACTAGGTTTACGGAACGCGTCAAATCGACGCATACTGAATTTTAGAAATATTATTTTGTAACGTCTACGCCGATTTTGATTGATGCGATCACAGTGACATGTACTTCAATTACCCACTATCGAATCTCCAGTTTCCACGATCTAAATAAACGAGCATCAATTCTTTTAGGAACAATAGAATCAAGTGTAGAATAAATGCCCGTAAACCTAGTGGTAATCACAACACTGCTCAAACTTGGAATCGTACCTGATAGTACGTCGATACACAAAACACACGTAAACGACGTGGAAACGTCGGAACAGAAGAAAGAATAGAAGAAGAAGAGGAAGAAGATGTACGTACTCTGATGACAGTCAACGGCTGTGGGAAGTCGCTGCCGCCCGCCAACCGGAATCCCCATGGCGTGTTGTCGAATTTGGTGAACTTGACGCTGATAGCCATGCTGCCGTTCTACATCTGGAAAATCACGTGCTCTCACTAACGGACAATCCTCGTTCGGCGCGTCGAGAGAGTAACGGCGGCGGATACGCGAGAGAGGTGGTCCGGTTCGCGACGATCCCCTGGTCGTAGGCGGACTCGCGATCACGACAGGGATTCCCGGTCTCTCCGTTCGGTTCGATTACGTAACGCGGGGGAGACCGAAATTGGGCGGCGAGCTTAAGTTACGAGGGTTTATTTACGAACTTGAATTTCCTTGAATCGCAGGCGTCGCCGATCGCACTAAATACCGCGCGTAGCGCCCCGGTGCCGCGCTATTCGAACACGTGAGCCTCGATCTTGGCGCGCGATCGATCGCCAGCGGAGTTCGCGGTCATCCGCCCCTCGCGGCTCGCTTCCGACCTTCTTCCCTTCCGCTCGAAGCTGTAGAAATAATCGGAGATACCCGCTAACCCGAGTAAACCCTCTCGTAAACCCTCTCGCCGCGGATCCGAGCGATCGGAGATCTAAACTCGAGAGAAAAGCCGAACCGATCCGCTTCCCCCGTGGATCGGAGTTTTCGGGATACGGATCGTTTCTTTGACCTCCCCCTTTTCTTTCGTCAAGGGGATCGGGTTTGCCTTTCCACGGCGCGAAAGAGAAAGAGGAGCAAGAAGGCTACGGTACGCGGCGGCCGCGAGGAATTCGTAGTATGTACGCGGAAGTGGCCGCACGCGTCGTCCGAAACGAATATAGTCTAGCGGTGCGCGAATTTCCTCAATGATTTCAGCTCTATTTCTCTCTCTCTCTATCATTCTCTCATTCTCTCTCTCTCTTTCTTTCTTTCTCTCTCTTTCTCTTCCTCTTTCAGTATTCATCTCTTTGTCTAGCCGCATGCTGATTACTTGCCAGTATCGTACGGGGGATCGTCGCATGGAACGATGCACCACGATGCACAGCGTAAACGCACACCGAGGGAATATTACTGTATCACTGGACTCATGGAGCGCGAAACCGAGTTGCGCGGCTACGGGCGGAAACGGACCCGATCGCACGAACCGGCCGTCCCTCGAACACGCACGAAACGGTGTCACGATAAAGTTTGCCAGAAGGCAATCGCAACTGCCGACTCTGAACGCCACAAATACACGACCCCTTCTCCCCACAGCAACCCTCCTCCAATGCTCCCCTTGCTATCCAATCGGAAAACAGCAGGAAGCAGGCTCGATCTATTTACTGATCGATTTATTTAGATTCGGGTCCTCGATTTCCTCCTCGTCCTACCGAGAGATACGTTTCGCTTTGCCGTGCCGCGGGCTCTTCCCCGTGATCGACGTTCCACGATCGACAGGACCGAGGAACTTCCGGAATTATCTCGCCTCCTCTACCGATCCGCCGTTTCGCGCGGTTCGCTGGAAAGACGAGAGACAGAGAGAGTTGGGTACTGAGTTCTCGCCGGTTAACAGGGAATCCGGTGTGACGAAATCTCTCGACCGGACACTACCTACCGATCTGCTTCTCCCTGGATCAGTCTTTCTTTACGCTATTTTATGTCTCCTATTATTTTCTATGCAAAAGCGTCGCTCTCCTGGAAATAACAAATAAACTCGTGTCTTCTAAAGAGTACTGTCTCGACTGCGAAAGAATTCTCGACGGACTCTCATTGAGAATAATTGATCGATATTTGTACGTACTTAAATAATTCTCCTTTAATTCTCCAAGTTAACACACATCGTACATAAACGCGTACACGCAACGCTCGTCGTACGTTAGAATACAGTCTATGGCTCGAGTGTCTCTGTTACTTCTGAAAATGATGCTTAACGTGTTACTAGTATACATTAAAAACTCGATCTCCACCTTTCTCGCACTCCACGCTGCTCTCAGGTCTTTGGTTTCTTCGCGTTCGACGGCCCGTCGCCGTCGTCCGACTGGAAAATCGTTTTCGGCTGCGTCTTCTTGTACGCCGGCGCGATCCAGTACGGATTCTCCTCCGCCACCTTCGCGTACTTCAGGATCGCCTCTCGGGGGTCCTGGTCGTCCTCTATCCTCTTGCTCAGGCCCAAGTTGCGGATCACGTAGGAGCTGAGCGTTCCCCCGGAGGAAGCGACCCTGCCGCCCTGGCCGGAGGTGATCGGCAGGTCCGGTCGCCGCGACTTCACCGGGTCCAGCCGATCCTTCTCCATCTGCTTGCGCACCGACTTCGGCCTGTCCTGCCGGAACAACGGCAGAGCGTGCGGAGTGATGATCTGCTGCGTGGACATCACCTCGATGTGCTTCTGCTTCATGTGCGTCTTCACCACGCACAGCTTCGCGCCCCGCAGGCTCTTCTTCGAGTCGTAGTACACCTTGACTATGCCGTTCCCGCAGCCGACGAATATCTGGTTCAGTTTCGGGTGCCACAGCGTCTTGATCACGTGCGAGTTCGTTACGCTGATCTCGTTCACCAGGTCGAACGTTTTCGTGTCGTAGAACAGGACCCTCCCGGTGTTCTGGCCGCGGTTCAGGGACTCCCCTGTAATGACAATCGAATCGTCCGGGTTAAACATGCAGTCCGTCGTGTCGTAGCGGGAGTAGAGGTTCCGCGCCTCGAACACTGGGGACCTGAAGGCCCTCAGGTCCCAGAGCTTCAGCGTGTCGTCGCAACTCCTCGTCGCCAGCATGTGTCCCAGATAGGAGAAGCTCAGGCTGGAGATCTCCGAACCCTGCGCGTGGGCGTTCCTTTGGATCAGCGACGGGTTCACGAAGTTCTTTCTGTGGTCCCACATCTGTATGGAACCGTCCACGCAGCCGCAAGCCACCACTGTGCCTTCGCGGCTGTAGCCGCATGTAGTTGGTATGGTTTTGACCCCGTTCTGAGCTCGGCATTTGATCAGGTACTTGTGAGCACGCGGCCTGTACAAGATCCATATCCTGCAAGTACTGTCTTGGGAGCAAGTCATGTATTCTTCTTTGGTGAACGGATGCCAGCAGCCACAGTTTAAGCCTGCTGTGTGACCTTTCGTACGTGCCATGTCTGTGATGTATTGGTCACCTTTGACAGTCTCGCATTTCTCGAAACCGTCTCTGTCCAGGACTTTCGCCTGTGCGGAGCCTGCAATGACTAGTATGACATCCCCAGTCATGGAGTATTGTAGACATTTAATTGGGTGATTCTCGCAGGGCTGCAGCGTTCTGAAACTTCTCATGGACGAGTCCATGCCAGCGAAGTCCCAGAAACAAACGTCGTAGTCGATTGAACCGGAGGCTAGCCTCGCACCGGAAGGGTCTGCCGCAATAGCAGTTACCGCTTTTGTGCCATGAGTCATTGTAACTTCATGACTGCATGGGACTTTGTCTCTCAGCTGTGTTTCCTCTGTGTCAGACTCTTCCTCGTCTTCGTCGCTGTCGTTTCCGCTCTGCTTTAACTTCGATGATTCCCCTAAATCTGTTGTACTCTGGAAGTCAGATGGAATTGGAGGACCAATGAGATCGTTATCCTCATCCTCGTCATCTTTATTTTCATCAGTAGGGCTGGCACTCTTTGGTTCTTCCTCTGATGATTTATCGGCAACATCTGGACTCTTCTTCTCTTTATCACTGGCAACAGTCTTGTTGCTATTAAGAGTTTTTGTAATGTTCTCTAGCATTTCTTGTACATCAAATGATTTGGCCTTCTTACCGAAACCAGTTATGCCCATAATTTGCTTTAGATTATGAGTTTCTTCTTCGTCTTCGGGCTTGATTTCATTCATCTTTATTATATTTGTTTCTGGTAGTTTCTTACCGAATGTCCCGAATCCAGAACTTGTGCCTTCTGTGTTCTCAGAAGAACGTTCCTGATTTAAATCCTTAGTGATTTTCCCAAATGTTATAACCTTCTTGGTACTCATGGTCTTGGATTATCTACGATATTTCACAGATAATAAATTAAAAGTAATAATTTAACGTATTTTCAATGGAAAATACGTTTCTTGAGGAATAAAATATTACTTACTGTTTCATTCAAATATAACGAAAATAATGTGACGTTGACATGTAAACGTATGTCGAGGTTAGGAAACTCCAATTAGTTCGTTGTACTATAATACATTGCACGTCGTACAGTCAGTTAATATAATACAGAACCTTTTTGTTCCTGTGCATTTTGCAACAGTATTTTACAATTACTCCAACTTTATCTGCGTTAAATACAACTGTTTGTTAGTAAACAAGAACGCACACGTAAATAAAAGGCACCCCCGTCTAACATCTGTATTAACAGCTGTTAGTGAATCATAAATTTAGCAAGAAACATCTATTATTCACAATTATAGTAAAACAATTGTTCATTATCAATAAATTCAATAAATATGTTTAAAAAAACATTTAAAATTGAATATTCACTCCTTAACACATAGGCACAAATGATTCGTGCCGGAATAGCCATAATACACCATGTAAAAAGCGGCATGAATTAATTGCTTGGTAAAATCTGATTTTTGTGACTAGCAGCGCCATCCGTGGCAAAACGCTCAAACTGATAGCCAAATGTTATCGACAGGTGAGTGCAGATAACTTTAGGTCTAAGCATGTGCCGCCACCTGACAGAGAACTCTATGAACTAAAACCCCTATTAGTTGCAAAAAAAGATCATAGATGTCGCTTTAGTGTCTCTTATAAAATTTTATTTATTATTTAAACATTTAATTGTAATTTTTGATACTTTTTATCATTCAGTATCGTCATTGGGGGAATTAATAAACAGTATACCAATCTTGGACAACATTATTTATTTAAAAATTTGCCAGGTGTTTATTTTATGGTCCTCTGATTCCAAGCAGTTCTATGTTGTTTATTTTTTTTATGTTACTTTTAGTTCCAAGGTTTCACCGCTAGATGCTGGCCAATTTTGTGGTCCATGAAATCGAACCGGAAGTGCCGTTTTGTCAATAAACGAGTTTTTCGTTTTTAATGTATGCTTAGTTTTATAGTAAATTATGTTATAATAAAAACTATATTATAAACATGTAAAGGTCTAGAATAGACTTTCGTTTACTTTAAGTTATTGATAAAAAGTTATGTTATTGAAGACAAAATCTGATCTGCCTGGTACATTAATTAATTTTTATTGGAATTACTTATTGTTGTGTATAGAATTAACATTTCTATTAGCAATTTTATACTTTCAGCTGTCCCACTGCGACTTTCTTTATTTATAATTATCGTATTATCACTATGCTTTGCTAATAGTTATAATGGTGATTTTGTATTTGATGATTCTGAAGCTATTGTTAATAATGAGAATGTACAAAGTACACCTCTCAAGGATATATTTAAAAATGATTTCTGGGGTACTAAATTGACTAATAAACAAAGTCACAAATCATATAGACCATTCACAATTCTGACTTTTAGGTAAGAATTTATTATAAAGTAATCAATGATACAATCACATTTCACTTGTACATGTTACATATCTTCTTGTAGATGGCATTTTTGGTTTCGAAAAAGTTTGGTTGCTCAAGATTATCACTTGATAAACATTATTTTACATACATTCGTCTGCATCCTGTTGTTGCCCACATTTATTGTATGTTTGGGTTCAAGAGGACAGAACACTGCATTTTATGCAACTGCATTGTTTGCTGTTCATCCAATACATACAGAAGCTGTAAGTTGCATTCTGCATCATTGAAGTTGCATTCTGTATCTGTCAACTATGATCTAATTAATGATTTCTTTTGATATACAGGTCTCAGGCATTGTAGGAAGAGCAGAATTATTATGTGCTTTATTTATGTGGACATCTATCTTACTATATTATCAATCAATCTATGCAAATAAATTATTATATAGATGGTGTAGCATGTGTGGTTGCATTCTATCCATTGCAACTGCAATGCTATGCAAGGAGACAGGAATAACAGCAATTGTAAGAAACACAAAGACATTTTGATATATCAATATACATAATAATAAACATTTTTTTCAGGGAATTTGCGGTATATATGATCTTGTAATGGTGAACAAAATACTACCATCAGATGTGATCAGATTTATGAAAATGAAGTACACTTATGCAGAAGCAAAAAAATTCATCAACCTGAAACAGAAGCTCATAATCAGACTTTGTATACTTTCTGTGTCTGGTTTAATGCTCATGGTTTCAAGATTCAGTGTTATGGGATTTAAACCTCCAACTTTTCAATCTATAGACAATCCAGCTTCATTCATGGACAATGTCTTCCTACGAATACTGAATTATAGTTACATTTATTGCTTAAATGTATGGCTACTAATATGCCCAGAATGGTTGTGCTTTGATTGGTCCATGGGTTGTGTACCTTTGATTACTACTTATGACTATAGGATATTCTGTGTAATTATTTTTTGGTTAATACTTGGTACAATGATTGCACATATCTTCATCTGCTGTGATGACTTATTTCTAAGGTAAGGTTACTGACTTCATTTGCAGTGTTTACAAACTCTACAAATTTTGTTTCTGTTTACAGATACTCACTTATGGGACTAGCAATGTTAATCATTCCATTTCTACCAGCCAGCAACATCTTTTTCAATGTCGGTTTTGTCTTAGCAGAGAGAACTCTTTATATTCCCTCTGCTGGTTATTGTCTTCTTATTGTTATAGGGTTACAAAAGCTTTGTAATCGTGTTTCTGTGCAGTACATTCTGTTAGCGTACTTAGTTCTCATTTCATTATTTTTTGCAAGATCTTGGATGAGAAGCGAGGAGTGGAAAACTGAAACCTCGCTTTTCAGATCGGCATTGCACGTTTGCCCACTGAATGCAAAGGTTCACTACAACATTGCTAAGAATGCCGCTGACTCCGGGAATACAACATTAGCGCTCTACGAATACAAAGAAGCTCTAAGGTATAAAGAGAACAACATAATTGTTTAAAAAGAACTTGATCCCAATCGTTTTCTTTTTAAATAGATTAAATCCTAACTATGCTCAAGCTATGAATAATCTTGGTAATTTGCTCAAGGATCAAGGAAAGTATATAGAAGCAGAAAGTTTGCTTAAAAGGGCTATAGAGCTCCAGTAAGTCTACTTATAACCGACTATTTGAGATGCAATGAACAGATTGAAAGAATGAATGTAATCACGCCTAAAATTTTTCAATTAGGAACATAATGTCATTAAGTCGTGAGTTTTAGGGATGACTTTGCTACAGCGTGGATGAACTTAGGTATCGTCCTTTCGGCTTTGAAGAAATACGATGAATCAGAAGAAAGTTATTTGACAGCACTGTCTCACAGAATTAAATATCCTGATTGCTTTTATAATCTAGGTGTCTTGGTTGGTAACTTATTATTAATATATAAAGATGGAACTATCCATTGTAAACTAACTCATATTAATTGCAGTACCTTGAACAAAAAAATTACGATAAAGCTTTAAAAGCTTGGAAGTCCGCCACTAAGCAAAAAAAGAATCACGGAAGAGCATGGAGAAATATGATATTACTCCTTGATGATCTGGGTATGCACAACTGAACAATACTGTGTTGGTATATCGTATAAAGATTTGCATTTTAGGTACGCGCGATGATGCGCTTAAAGTGGCATATCAAGCTCTGCAGTATTTACCAGATGATGCTTTAATTCACTTCAATATCGCCAACATATTGGGCAAAGTTGGAAATTTTGTAGAGGCAGAAGTGCATTTCAAAAAAGCAATATCACAAAATCCTACAAACTCAATGTTTTATACAAATTTAGGTAAATTTTAAGTTTTATATCTAAGTACTGAAGATTCATATTTTAATTCTATGTTAATTTTATGATATATTAATGAAATATAGGTGTACTCTATCATCGATGGAATAAATTCGATGAAGCCGAACACATGTACAAGAAAGCATTAGAAATTAAACCAGAATTCAATAGTGCCAGGGATAATTTGAGAAAGTTATATACTTTAAAGTCATCAATAAAATAATTTATACTTTAATATCAAAAGAACTGTATTTACTATAAAAACAAAGTTAGTTTTTCCTGCAATCTATTTTGCCCTTTACTTTTTCGAGATTACGCGGATATGCGTAAGCTTTGAAATTCCCGACTTTCTTCCCGTCGATATAGTTGTAAGACTTAAAACAACCATCACAGTAGTAACAAGGATTATGTGGAATTCTCTCATGTTCCATAGTGATCCACTGTGCAATGTACACACCACATATCATGCAATATTTAGAAGACATGGGTCTTATCCTTACAATTTGTGGATATTCCGATACAGCTAATGTATCACTGTTATTGATCAACCTATAAATGATTAAACAGCATGTATTCGAGTACCCAATTATTGGTTTATCAAAATTACCTTGCATCACTAAATATAATTAAATGTTCACAGCCTCCTTGATGCTTATATACCCATGGAAAACCAAATCTTAAGAACAGAGAATCTATTCTACACTCCTCCATTGAAGCAACTTTGAAAGGACCTAAATTTGGTCGTCTTTGTGCCCAGTCAATGATCACTTTACTGTAATCATAATTGGTAGGGTGTCTAGTGTCATTGTAAAATGTATCTTCAATAAAAATAAATCCTGATTTGTATACATCCTAAAATAAAACAGAATATTTATGTATAAATACGATACAACTTATCAAAAAGTTTAAATAAAACTATAAAATTACTTTTGCCATTGGTCCTATTGCCTTGTCTAAATTTTCACTACATTCACGAGAAATGCTACAATCAGTTATACAAGATATTTTGTCACGCAAGTCTGCAAGTGTCTGAGACCCTAAGACAGCTGTAACATTGTTTAATCGAACTATTGAATTAAGTGAAATATTTTTTGCACGTTGTGAGAAGGGATGATAAATTCTGACATAGACCAGAATATCTTGTCCAGGAATTGCAAAGTTTCCATTTGTTTCCTTGTCCTTTTCATAGCGCTAAAACAAAATGTAACAGTTGCATTTATAAATTATTTTTCATTTTAAATAAATATTAAATGAAATAGACATTTACTATGAATAATTCACTTTGATACTTGCAACAAGGATGCTTTGTTTCTTGCTTCAGCCTTCTTTTCAGATGTTCAATAGTTTTTAAATTCACATCCGGTGGTTCTTCAGGACCAAATGTGTCTTTCTTTCTTAATTTTCTGCTATCTATTAATTTTGGCATTTCTCCATCTACAGTTAAATTGTCAATGCTATAAAACAAAAAATATATATTACACGAAATCAAACAATAATATAAGAGCTAATATTAAAACAACACCAATCAGTAATTAAAATACCTGCAGTAACTTGACAGCATGCTCATTTCTTCCTCGCCAAGTTGAGCTCCCATCACATCCATTAAATCTGTGTCACTAGGTTTCGTTGATATTAAACAATCTGCCGATATTATCAAATTACGATATTCATCGAAGTATTCTTTTATATGAACCTTTGGGGAAGCATTTTTGTTATACAATTTGTACATGCCATCCATTGTTATGCAGTGTCTCTAAGTAATTAAGATGATCTGTCTACCACTTCCTTTGTAGAATAAATAAATAAATATTTTAGGGTATAGCTTAAATTCTCGTTTTAATTAACTATCAACTGTTACGACAGTATCTAAACCTAAACGTAACATATACAATACGTTTGCCAGCTCCAAATAACCACACATTTTACTCAGTGTTTCTTAAAACACGTGTTGATCGTACTCGAGAAATTAAAAATCTTCATAAGAATTCCACTTGCATCTAATTACAAGTATGTGCTGAATAAGTTTCGTTAACGTATCTAATGTGTTTGAATCTTTTTTAAAGAACAAGTTTTGAAATAATTTGGAAAGAACACCCTATTTTACCAACAAATGTAACCCAAGGTATACTTCTAATGAAAGACGATAGATGGCAGGACGATGACAGCTAGAAGAAAATCTTCAACATATTTTGTATATCGAAGATTTAACTATTTCTCACAAAATTATTATTAACTAATTTTAACTACGCGTTAAGTATATTATTTCTATTGTTTAATATACTATTTGTTAGAATCATTTGTTGAGAACAGTAAAAACATTCCTCGAGCAACGATCAAACCACGTTGAAAGCACTGGTTCTCGTCTGATCACCGCAGTTAAGCAACGTTGGGCGCGGTTAGTACTTAGATGGGTGACCGCTTGGGAACACCGTGTATTGTTGTTCATTTTTTTTTTCAGCAGTTAAATAATAAAAACAACATATACAGTATCCTTTTAAACATTTACCAAATACGCAGACGTTAAAAAGACAAATAATAAACAAACATACTACCATGACGCGTTACGTATGTAACACATGCAATTAGATTCTTCCAACAGTAGTCCAAATCAATTCAAGACATACGATTAAATTCTATCTATTCCTTCGTTCATATAAGTACCAAGGTAAAATGAATATTTCATGAAATATTCACTGATGCCTAAGGAATCACGGTCGACGCAAAGCGTGTACCATGAACGGCAACAGAATGGTACAAACTTTGCAAAAAGGGAACGAATGGGACTTGTTCTATTCACAAGTCCGTGTAAGTAGATAATGCGTTGCGTGCCGTGAGTCCGAAAGAGTGTGTCCGTTGGAAGTAGAATAAGACAATAAACGCGAGACACGAGGGCACAATGAAGAGGCGTAAACTACGGTTGCTCACGGTGCGGTGCTCTCGCCAATGGTCCGTGCCAGCGTGGGGCTCCGCCTCTTAAGCGTGGCCAGTTTTCCCCCTTGGTGCCTATCGTGATTGTCGGCCGCGCTTGGTCGAGCGTGCGCACCAATGTGTACACCCACGCACACGCTCTCGCAGCATCCATAGCGACGGAGGCGAGACGGAGGCGAACGCTAGAAATGCGCAGAGAAGTGTGCGCGTCGTGTCAATGTGAGCGAGCGTGCATTGGTCGGTTTGACCACTTGCAGCCCTCTCAAAACGAACGCTAGCTATTCCTCTCGTACCGTCGTCGTCCCGCGTGTTTCCCTCTGCGTCCGATCGCCCCTCTTCGTTCAACCTATTCCACTTACGACGGAGCGACTGCTCAGCTTCCGTCCCGCTCCGTTTCCAACGATTCTCATTCGCTTCTCGTTCGCTCTTGCTCTACCATCCACGCACAGCCACGCGTACACGCTCGGAGCAAGTAGGTGGGTGCCTCTCTTTCACGCACACACCGCCGCCCGCTAGAGATAGGCTCATCTCACGTACGTGTGGCTCATGCACGCAAAGACGGGAAGAAGCGACTACCGCGGGGAGCGGGCGGGGGCTGTGTTCTAAGGCCACGCTAGCCGGAGTGGAGATTTCTTATTTCTGCTCTGGTAAATCTGTCGCCCCAGTCAGTGAGGCAGCGAAGGGCGAGCCGCGCACCATTGACCGTGTCCGTGCTTCTTTTTTCGTCTTCTC